GGCATTTCATATATTCCGAGACCGTTTTCAACAAGTTCCCTATTTAAGTCATCCGCATTCATAAGCCTTTGTTCTTTCGTTCCGTCTCTATTTTTTACGCGTTTCATGAAGATAGTTGAATCATCATTTATCTCTGACACCAAATATCTCGGAGTAAATTCGTTCATGTCATTTGGATGATATGCTATTAAATCATATCCTTAGCGAGCTTGTATTTTCCAGGTTTGAAATTATATCCCATTTGGTGCTGAACCATAAAGCTAAATAGGTTCGGGTCAGTATTTCCTTCTTGAACTTTCTAATAGCTTCTTTATATCTGTCACTAAGTCAAGAGTATCTGGGTAACCATAGTCTTCTTTAAGCATTTTTAAGAAATCTTGGTTTCCTTGTTCTCTACTTCTTTTATGTCCTTGCTCTGTTTGTGGTTGTTGTTGTGCGGTTTTGAACTGTTGGTTGCTGTGCTGGTTGTGGAGGTGGTTGTTGTGCTGGTTGTTGTTGTGGTGCTGGTTGTTGTGTTGGTTGTTGTTGTGCTGGATTTTGAACTGTTGGTTGTTGTGTTGGTTTTGGTGCATGCCTGTGTCTGTGTCCATGTGACGATGTAAATGTTTTAGGTAGTCCTGGTGCAGGTGCTTCTCTTGGAGGGTTTGGTGGTATATAAGTTCCACCAGCTGGCACATATGTTCCATCTGCAGCATAATGTCCTACCTGACTTTTCGTTTTTAAGAAAGCATTTACTAGGTCTGTTTTGGTCTGTTGTAACTCTTTTTCTTGATTTCCACAACAGTTGCTCTAACGGCGTCATAGGCGCTTTGAACTGCCTGTCTCGTTGCTGCATCTGTTATTTTCGTCATATTTTGTGCTACTTCTCTTAACTCTTTGTCGAAACCTTCAGACTTCAGTTTCTTTCCAGATGAGAAATCGTTCACTTGTTTCACCTTACTATGAAGAGCTTCGAAGGCGTTCTTAAAGTCAGCATTTGTTAAAGCTTCATTTGAACTGTCTTCATCCGCTTGTATTTTTGTCCTTATTGACCCTATAAGTTGGGCTGCTTTAGCGTTGGCTTGGGCATCTAACCAGTCATTTTAGCTTTTATATATTCTGCGCTTTTCATTGCCTTTTGCATGGCTGCGTCGTTATTTTTACTTTCTTGTGCTAAGTTTTCATACTGTACGGTTTGGTTTTGCAACTGTAAAAGTTTTTCTGCCTTTACATTTGCTTCAACTTCTTTTTTATACTCATCGCTATCCATATATGTCTTCAGGGCTTTTTGTTTTATCTCTTCATCTTTCAGTACTTTATATTGAGTAGTATGGTTTTTCAAATTTATAACATCTTGTTCCATTTTTGCTACTTCTGCTGCTTTTTCTGACACTTTTTTCGCATATTCCTCTGTACTTAGTTCTTTCAGTTGTTCTTCTTTCTTCTTTTTCTCTACGTTTAACTCATTGAGTTTCTTTGTGTGTCTGTCATATTCTAGTTTCTTTTCGTTTTCACTTATTTGTTTCTGTATGTCTATGTTTGACTTTTTGACATCTGATATTTGATTTTTGAGTGAACTCAAATTCATTTGACTTTGAGGGTTATAAGCTGTTCCGTCTGCAGCTCCACCATAGCCTGCCATTTTCGCTAAAAGTGCCGCTCTTAAACCTCCACTCTGTGCACCAACAACTCGGTTTAAAAGCATAGGATTGCTTGACATTTGTTGCAACATAGTGGGGTCATTCAGCATTTGTTGTTGCAACTGTTGTTGTGGTGTCAGTTTTACTATTGGATGTTTCAATGCTCTCTTCCTCTTACGTATATTCTTACGTAGCTTACGTGGCATTTTAAGTGAAGTTAAAAAGCGGTTTTATACTAAACATCTTCAGGGCTAGAAGGGGCGCAGCCCCTGGAAGCCCCACTACCTTTTTTTTTTTCGTCGAAGTGTTTCTTATCTGATGAATATAAAATATATTCTAATATAAAAAATCCCAATCTGGAACATATTCCAGATTATCATCTCGAAAAAGATCAAAATACACTCCAATCAATACAAATAGAAACATTACCAAAAAAACAGATATGACATCCAACCCGAGCAATTCCATCCTTTCAAATCTCGGTTTTAATCGTTTGGAAGTAGGATAATATTCCATGTATTTATATTGAAACTCTTCTGGATCTAATGAGATAAATTTTTCAACTGTAATTTCGATATTTTTATCAACTAGTTTTAAAAACAGTTTTTCGAATATTATATGTAATCTGAATAATCTTAAGAATAAATATAAATATTGACCATTTTTGCATACCATAAAATTGATTATTTTTGATTTATTATTATTAAAACAAACCAATCGTGTATCAGGTTCTTCTTCAACAATTTTATTAAAACCACGAATTGCAAGAAATTTATATTGAACTCTCTGATAAAAGGAATCAAAACTTTCTTTTGCTTTATCAGTGAATATATATTTTTCCTTCAATAGATAAACAACCGTTTCTTTATTTGAAATATTTAAAGGATTATATTTCCATGAACCATAGTTAAAATCATACCTTTTATTATATCTTGAACCATCTTTTGTTCTTATATAATAAGATATCTTTGGTTGCTGCAAAAGGAATGATTGGACGTATTTTTCATTATTAATATTTTGTAACATACTGAAGAAATGTTTATCTAAGCACGACATGAATATTAATAATATCATTATCACAAGCAATGCGTAAAAATAGAAATCAAACATGTTAAAGAAAAATTTAGTTTACGGTTTTTCTTTCAATTTATTAAATTTCCAAGTTACTTAATTTAAGTTAGAGTAGGGATTTCGCATGGCTAAAAAACCGCTGGCTATAGCCATTTCCCAAAAAAAACCTTAGCAAAGATTTTAACCTTTTTTTACATATAAAAACTCGTTTTTTGCTTTTTGCAATTTTTTTGGAAAGAAAGAAATGTATTTTTATCATACATTTATCATCAAATTAGATCTAGTGCTTATTTATATCATATATGATAAACGTTTAATTGAGTTTCGATTTTTGGCTAATGTAAACATCAGAAATATCGTGGCTAATGAGCCCCGATTTTGTCAAAAAAGTTAAAATTTTACAGTAATTATTTTAATTTTAATGTTATCGAAATGATAAATTATGTTACAGTAATTATTTTAATTTTAATGTTATCGAAATGATAAATTGCTGTTACTTGGTGTGCAAAAAGCAATTATTTAAAATTGAATTTGGGAATATTTTTTTGGGTTTGCACTTTTATCTCCTTTTTATACAAGGTTCACACCTGTATAAAATGCAATAAAAGTGTAAAATTTTTGAATTATTATTATTAAAACAAACCAATCGTGTATCAGGATCTACTTCAACAATTTTATTAGAACCACGAATTGCAAGAAATTTATATTGAACTCTCTGATAAAAGGAATCAAAACTTTCTTTTGCTTTATACATATTGGACATTCTTAGAACTTCCAAAACACAATAATAAAAATCTTCCTTTATATAAGAAGTTATATAAGCAATATTAGTCACTTTTTGAGATGAGGGACGACAAATAAAAAGTGAATATATATATTTTAATAGCTGCTTGATACTTTTTCGAGCTTATTTATAAGCCCGGGAAAAATGTCACAACTATTCTAATTTATTCGCGTCATCTCAAATATATATAGGGTGTCCAAAGGTGCGTTTAGCACAGCGCTCTATATGAGACTATTAAAGGAGATATATGCTGATTATAAATATATAATAAAAAATATGAATATATGTATATGATGAGTATTTTGTATTTTGGCGCCATGCCGGGATATAAAATGAATTTTGAGACAAGAGGCGGTTTCGCGGGAAATTTTGGCGGGATTTTTTTCATTTTTTTAATGAATCATAAAGAAAACATCCTCGCTCTTGCAAAAAAATGCAAAGACTGTAAAAAAATCTACGAGACATTGGTAAAATGCTTCGGTATGGATGCTCCTAGCTATTCCACTGTAACGTATCATGTTAGGATGTATCACTTCATGAACAAAAAGGCGCCCATCATAAAAATTGACAAAAAATTGCCGGATCAAAGAAAAATCAAAGCAATTCTTCAAGCGCTAGATGAAGACCCAAGAGCATCACTCAGAAGGATAGAGGAGATGACAAAGATACCACGTACAACAGTCAGTTATTATCTGCACAATTATTTGAACTACAAACTAGCGTATACACGTTGGGTTCCGCACAACCTTAATTCAGTTCAAAAAAAATCTAGAGTCCAATCTTCGAAAGAGCTCCTCTCTATATTGGGTGTGTATCAATCCAAGAAGTTTCGCTTTTTAGTAACAGGGGACGAGTCTTGGTTTCAATATGCAACAGAAGCCAAAATCATGTGGATCCCGAAGGATGAAAATCCGCAAACATTCCCGAAGAAAAAAATTGACACACTAATGATGATGTTGTCGGTTTTTTGGGGCGTGAATGGCATCATCGCAATTGATATTCTTCAAAAACCTAATACGATGAATGCTCAGTATCTAATTGACAATGTTCTTACTCAAATTATCAATTCTGATGAGTTTGAGAAATCCAAACAACAAAAACAAAAGTTTGCAATTCATTTTGATAATTCAAGAGTTCACAAAAGTCATAAGGTAATGAATTACTTGTTGGAAAACAATGTCAAAGTTGTTCCAAACCCAATTTATTCACCTGATATTGCACCCTCTGACTTTTATTTATTCGGCACGCTAAAAAAGAGAGCTGAAGGACGCGAATTCGCGAGTCCAGATGATCTTGAAAATTTTGTAAGAGAGCAATTTGAGCAATTTTCTCATGATGATTTAAAGCGTGTCTTTCAAGCCTGGATCGATCGCTGCGAACGCGTGATTGAATCCAATGGTGATTATATTTAAATAAACTTTATATATATGTAACTTGTTTATTTCTATTCGCAGTATTCAGGTTTGTGCTAAACACACCTTTGGACACCCTATATTTAAAAAATAAAATAAATAAATAAAAAATGTTTATTTCCTTGGAGTTCTTGGTGAAGAAGTAACAGAGTGATTGTCATTTCTTCTGCTTGATCTTGGAGATACAGAAGATGATGCGTCAGATCTTTTTGTCGAAACTTTCGAAGGAGATTGTAATGATTCTTCTGGAGGAGAATTGATGTATTTCTGGAAAATTAAGTAACACAAATCACAAGATTCTTTCTGTGAGAAATCTTTGTTTATGTTAGGAATCATCAAATATTTCATTCCTGGACCAGTTTCAATCTTTATTTTCTCATTGTCAACAATAACAATGTTGACACTCTTCCATTCAGTTGATTTTGTAACATTGTTTCTTCCTGTCAAAACAATGTTATTTAATGTGAAAGAAACATCCCAAATTCCGTTTCCAACTGGAGCATCTCCTTTGAATTTCAATGTTCCTGATTTGTAGTAACTCTTTGCCAATGTTTCTACTTTTTGTTGTGGCAAAACAGGACCAACTAAATTTGACTTCAATTCGCCACATTTTGCGAAAACAAATTTGTTGCAAAACATGGCATTCGGTGTAAATGAATCATCACAAATAATTTCTTCTTCATCTTCGTAATTTTCGTTTTGGCAAACAAACCATGTCAAATCATCATTGTTTTCATTATCAAAATTAACAAAGCTGCATGTCAAAATTGAATCAGTGTAAACTTGGCTATCGTCGTCGGTTTTGTCACCTTTCTTCTTTTTATTTTTGACATTTATTAATAATTCTGGGATTAAATCTTGTTGGCCGAGTTTTTGGATCTTCAAATGACTTGTTTTTGATGTTTCGAAGCCGTATTTATTAATAACCCAAACTTTGACTGTCAAACGGTTTTCGCTATCGTCTTCTGTCAAAATAATTGAAGGCATTTGTCTTCTTGAGTAGAATTTACGAACTTTGTTTTCAGATTGGTCGTAAATCAACTCGTATTCGTTGTTTTCGGAATCTGTCTGTTTAAGAGTAAGAATGTCACTTTTTGTATCGTCTTCATCATCAGAATCGGACAACAAACTTTTAGATTTCTTCTTTGTGAGTTTAGAGATTTGGTCTTCGAAAAGTGAAGTGAAGTGATCATTAATTTCTGTTTCAAATGTCCATTCAAATTCGCAATGATCGATTTCATCATTTTCTCCTTCGAAAGGAACAACTTTACACATCAAAACATCGCCAACTTTTTGTTCTTTGTTCTTGCTTCCATTTGCTATTCGTATTTTGTCAATATGTGTCACTTTTTTAACGATAGCAGTTGTATTTGACCAAACTGGTTTTCCTTTCAAACCGTCATCTCTTACGGGCGTGATGCAAACATTAATTTTCGGAGTTTTAGTTCCGAAAAACATTTCGCGCCATGGTGTCAGTTTTACGATTATTTTATCGTCATTTTCAATAGAAATTGATTGTTCGTTCACTGATTTCTCTTCAATTGTGACTCCGTCGCTTCCTGTGCAGCCTAATATAACTAACGGTTTTGACGGTTTGCCACCAATGTAATTAGCGGTTATGACAATTTTTCCTTTATCATCTTGTGAAATATTTATGTCTTTGACGATAGGAAGTGACGGTTTTATTTCAGGCATATCCAATATTTGGTTTTCAGGGAGATTTTCTTTAAACAAATCATCAATTTTGTATTTGTTTGTTGTTGCAACAGCTCTGATTTGGCATCCAATATGTTCTTTGTTCGGAATAAATGACAAACAGTCAGAAATAACCGTCCATGAGTCTTCATTTGTTTCTTCATCGACAGTCTTCAACAACCAGTAGTATTTCGGAATTTGAGATAAAGAGCCTTTGACTTGCAAAGTAATTTTCTCGTTTTCGCGTAAACTGTCTGGAATTCTGTCGAAATACAAAAGGAAATCTGGTGCTTTGATGAATGATTTCGTAGTGGCAGAAATCACTTCACCTGACGGTTTGACAACGGTTTGACCTTTAACAACCTGAAGATTTCCTAATTCTACTTCGCATTTCATGTAGCAGTTTGTATCTGCATCAGTAATTTTGTAAGATAACTCAGAAACATCCAAATTTTCTTTGACTTTTTGCAAATTTTCTTTTGAATTTTTCTGAGGAACAAATAAAGTATAATTTTCGGACTCTGTATTTCTGTCGAAACCAGAGAAAACAAAAGAGCAAATGTGCTCAAATTCAACTTTATCTCTAGATCTAAACCATTTCATTGAGTAAACAGTGCCTTCGAAATTGAGAGATAAATTGCCATCTTCTAATTTGACAATTTTCGGTTTTTGACGCATTGCCTTTGAAATTTTTGTTGTTGATTTGGAATAAACAATTTGGGAGTTTTCGAATTGAGGAGTTACTCCGCATTTAATTGTATATCCAACATCTGATTCTTGTATTTTATATGATCTAGATTCTACATCAACAACAATTGCTTTTCCGTTTTGGTTCCTTATCCAAACAATTTCGCAGTTTTCTGTCTCGATTTCGTCCGGAATTTCAATGATGTCGCCATCTTTTAATTCGTCACTTTTTGTAATTAATTCAAAACCGTTTACAATTAAAGGTGCCGACGGTTTGACAATATCCAAAATATAGTCACCTTTTTCTGATTTAATTCTTAAGAATCTTCCTACGTGAGACAAATTTGGCGTGAAAATTTGGCCTGTTCCAGCAGATTCGAATGATTCTTCGTCTTCTGTTGAAGAAACAAACCATCTTGAGTAGAAATCAATAGAAATTGGCTTGAACGCGAAGATTTCTTTCGGAAGATTGATTTTTTCTGGTGGATTTTCATCAGTTTCTATCGTTTTCTCTGAACAACAAAAAACTTCTTCACCTGAAACATCATCATCGCGTATTGGTGTCATTAAACAGACAACGTATCTGTTTAATTCACTTTCACCAAGTTCTAATATTTGGCTGGTTGTTCTCAATTTTTTACATTTGGTCACTTCACTTTTTGACTTGATTTCTTTTTGAGAAGAGTACCATTGGAAATGGCATTCACCCATTTCTCCGCCTTCGTAATCAGCGATTGCGATTACTTTTCTTCCAACGAAGAAATCTCCGCAGATTCTCTGATTCTTGAAAGAAGGAAGAGCAGGAATGACGCGCTCCTTGCTGTAGAAGATCTGTGGCTCGTCAATGGATGAGCCGTCTTGGAGAACAGGTAAATACTTGAGCCTCAAGAAACAATTTACGTCATTTTTCGTTGGAGTGTAAACTAAACTTGATGGATTTAATGTTGTACACTCAACCCATTCGTCTGAAGCTGTTTTTGCCCTTTCGATCGTAATTTCCGAGTCACCTTCGCGATCGGGCAAAATTTGACGCGTAAATTTGATCTGTTGTCCCTCGATGACTTCCTTTGGGAATGAGAGGCCAGTGACGCTTGGAAGTAATGGCTGTACAACTTCTGTTTCGGTCTCTAACTCGTTGAATCTCTCATCAGGAAGCTCTGTGCAATAAGGTTGTATTACGCATTTTATTACCTTTCCAACATGGTCGTATGTCAAATTAAGGGTCTCCGAGTTCTCAAGTATTAAGTCTGTATCGATATACCAGTTTGTTCTTGAAGGAATAGGCATTGGCATTACGGAAATCAAAGTTCCTTCTCTTGGCTCTCCGCAAACGATCGGATCGACAGGGAAAGGAAGTACGAGTTGTCCCTTCTGGTAGCCAACGACTTGCGAAGCGTACATTGAGTAAACTTTGTTTGGATCTTTTGAATTTGGTAAGTAAAGCTTGAATGTGGCTTTGATAATATGCTGGTGCATGATATTGAGTATTGTTATTGAGTTTTCTTGTGTTCTCATCTTAATTTCTTCCCATTCTTCTCCTTTTTGATTTAGGAACGGACAGGATGACATATACCACTTGATATCGTAAGCATGATTTTCTTCTGGACGATCTGTAAGAGGAATTGGCATTTCTGCAACATAATTGTTATCTTCTGTTTGTTTAAACGTAATTCGAGCAAGAGCAATGTCAAGATTAAGGTCATTGCATACTTGTATGATATCGCTTGAAAGAAATTCGGTTGCTTCTTGTTCTGTTGCATTTTCTGGATTTAATCCGGATCTGAGCGCAATTCCAACGATAGGAGATTTAAACGCTTGGCGAATGTTTGCGCGTGTAATTGCAATACCGTTGAAGATGGAAAGGCGAATTGATCCCGTTGCTTGTAAAGCAGATTCTGCTGTAAACTTTCCTGGGTTGTTTGAGAGATCGAGAAGTGTTAATTCAGGGTATATTGAGATTCCTTGGTAATTCTTAATGGAGTTATCATTCAAATAAAGGTATCTAAGCTTAGAAAATCTCGGAAGTCCTTCAAGAGAAGTTAAATTGCAGTGATCTAAGTAGAGAGTTCGCAAGTAGTCAAGCTGTGGAAATTCACTGAGTTGAGGGATTTTGGTTCCTGTTAAGCGAAGAACAACTAATTTACTTGGAAAAGATTTTACATTGATTTTTGTATTGACAATATTGGATAAATCGAGATATTTTGTTTGAGCGGTAACGCCATCAGTCTGATTTTTTGGAAATTCGACAATTGTTTTATCTAATAATTCATTTTCGCGTTTTTTGTATGCTTCTTCAGATCCATTACCAACTGTTTCTAGTAAGGATCTATGATCTGACTTTCTTGATATGGAAGAAGCAACAGAGGATGAATCTCTTTTACTCATTACAAAAAAAAGTGAAATGTAAAAAAAAAATCGAAAAAGGTGACAGTTCTTCAGTTTCCATAATCACTCATCATGAAATCATAATAAATATAGTATCAAATGACACATTGACATGCACATATAATAGAATTCCTATATAATGCTTCTTGCTTCATTCTTTGTCTCAATAAAATTTATAAATTTTTAATTTTACATGATAACATCAAAGCAGGCAAATATCTGCTTACAATATAGTGAGTAAATTATTCACCATCGCTTTTACGCTATTATTCTCTTATCAAAATCCGATATTTGATAATTCATTTGATAATAATTGATTCTTATCTTGATTGATTGTTATAAAACCTATTGTGAGTATTTACATTAATTGTTGATTCTAATTTATTTTCATTTTCTTAAAAACAAAACTTAGCGTGTGTTTATCTCCAAATATTTGGGTATCATGTAAAGCTTATACATTTTATATTATTCAGAATGTAAATAAACATGAAAATTCAAGAATAATTTTTATCTGATAATGAATAGGTGAATTACAAGAAAAATAAGTTAAAGACACAGTAGTATATTATGCTTAAACTCTGCAGGTAAGCTTCTCTAAGATCCAAGCAGTCCAAGCACTAATTGGTGGTTGTTCGAGCTCGAATGTGTCAATGATATCCATGATTTGAATATTGGAGATGTTTTGGAATATAGCTGTATCAACATCATGTTGACTGCATAACTTTCTCTTCATTGCAAGAGAAAGATCCCAAATGAAGCGAAGCTTCATATCCTTATTATATTGGCGTAATTGTTCAAGCTCAACTTCCTTGGAGGCAATTGTAGCTTCATCTGGAATTTCATCTTCATAGTTATCTTCCATTGTTCCTGGGCTGTAATAATAATCTGAATCAGAACCATCCATATTATGATTCATTCTTGGTGGTGTGCAAACGTTATCAGTATAGACGTTGTATTGCATTGCATCTGAGTCTAAGAGGTTCTGCTTCATGCTGTTCATGGTCGAAATTTCGAACTGAAATTTTGAATATTGCTAAACGTACATAAGTTTTATTTCAATCAACTTGATAATAGAACATTTTGAAATCTCATAAGATAGAACAGATTTTTATTTAATCAAAAAGTAAAGCCTGACTGTTTGACATTTCCATATTCCGCAATACTATAGTTAAAGTAAAATGTAGCTAAGATTTATATGTTAAACTTGATTTAAATTACATTTGTTCTAATTTAAGGATTAGTATCCAACATCAAAATTTGATAAAAAAATTAAAAGTTTGAATTGAGAATGATGAAAGAAAAATTAATATATGACAAATAATAACGTTTCAATAACTTAAAAGTTTAAAATATAAAATAAATTATTGTTCAACAGTATTAATTTCGTATTTTTCAAGCAAGGTGTCAATGACCTTGTTAAATGCCTTTGACAAGTCATTCTTAAGATCATTATCCTTAGCTTGCTTCTTTCCTTTGGCTAATTTGTCAGAAGATCCCGTAATTAAAGCCATGCAAGAGCAGGCGATTTCAATTATCTGATTGGCTTGAACCTTGAGCTGTGGGACCAAACTGTTCTTCAGCATTTGCTTTCTTTCGATGTATTTCTTCATTTTCTGGGATTTTTGCTTTTCGTTGTTTACTTGGATCTGATCAAGTTCTTGGCTTTGTTTTTCTAAGAGAATTTCTCTTTCCTTCTTTAATTCTTCGCTGTTTGCGCTAATTCTTTTTTCAATAATTTCGTCTTCCAAATCCAAAGCCTTTTCTTTTGTTTCCTTAGCTCTCTTGAAGTCCTTTGCTGCTGCGTATTTTTTAGCTTCTTCAAGTAATTTCTCGGCTTCTGGAACAGATCTTTGTTTTTCGTTCTCTTCCTTGATCAAATACTTCTTTTCTAAGAGGGTAAGTTGTTCAATATGGTATTTTCTCTTCTCTTCCCACATTTTCAGGGTTTGTTGGTCTAATTCTTCCTCAGCAATGATCTGTTTCTCATCTTGTCTGGCCATATATATCGTGTACTTCGTAATAATGCGTTCTGCAGCATCTTGGAATGATTTCGTAAATGAGTCGTATAATTCTTGAGGGCTTTCGGTCAAACTAAGGGATCTCTGCTCTAGTTCTTCCATGTACTCTATGTCGCACTCTTCGTTGGCCTCTTGTTTGGCTTGGTTGAGGGATTTGATGTAATCAAATGTATAATCCTTGAGGTTATTTGCAAGTTTCATGACTTCGTTGACATCCTCTTTATTCCTCATTGATAATTTCATGATCAGTAAGAAGAGCTGATTACGGTTTGCTTGGATTAATAAATCATATGTTGTCAACAAAGCATAATGAAGGACACGAGTCTGTGCATTGTATATCTGATTTTGTAGGATAGTTGTTGAAGCATCTGTTTGTACTGTAACGCGAGATCTTGCTGAAACAGAAACTGAATCTCCTTTTACGCTCTTAGCGCGCTTTACAATGTCACCATTTTTAAGTGGTTTTTGTGATTTGAGACCTTGCAACTGTCCATCAACAAAGGCAGTATGAGTATATAAAATTTCTGCCACGTGATTATAAATATCTGAGTACTCATTGATTGCTTCCTCTTCATCGAGTTCGGAATCATCATCTTCAGGGACTTTTGACCCAAGTTTCATCTGTATCTTGAAATAAACATCGAAAAATTCACTGGAAAGCTTCGAAACCTTCGAATTCTTACGCTTTGCAACTGTAATATACCTTTCAATTGCAGGATCTATCATTCTTTTAGAAGATTTACGGCGTTTCTTTGAAATTGTTGATTCAGAATCGGTTTGAGTTGATGATTCATCTTCTGTTATACCATTTGATAAATGTTCGACCTCTTCCTTGACTGCATCTTCTATTTCTTCCTCGCGTTTTTGCAATTGAACGAGAATTAGTTCATAAAGGTCATCGCAAGATGTTTTATCCTGCATATCATAAGCTTCAAGAAATAATTCACCTAACTGTGTTAAGCTAAAGTAATGTTTATCGAATTGTTCCATATCTTCCTGAACAAAATCAATTAAAAGCTTCGAGAAGCATTCGAACTCTTCAATAACATCGAGATCATGAGAACTATGCCATAATCCATTGATTAAAGTATTGAAATTTTCAGCAAATAATTGATATTCTTCCGAAATGAAGTTTTCTCCTTCTTCTGGTATATCTTCTTCTTCGCCTCTCTCTGGATATAATATTCTGATCTGTTTGAAGAAGTTTGTAGCGATATTCATCAATTGTGGAACAGCATTCAGTGGTTCTTCGCCTTTTGGAGGTTCTCTTGACTTAGAGAGCTTCACAATCCTTGTGAGGATGTATTGTTGTATATCCTTGTAGAATTGACGTAATTCTTCCACTGCTTGTTTTTGATTTTCGAATCTTTCTTGAGAAATCATTTTTTCTGTCTTTGCTGTCTCTGATTTGCTCTTGGATTCATTAATTTCCTCTTCTTCTTCGGCATTTGCCTTCTGGAACTCTTCATAATCGTTAAGAGTTGCTTTTCCGTTTTGATAGTATTTTCCTTGCAACTCCAGTATGGATAATGATATCTGTTCAAAGGAATTAAGCTCGTGAGTCTTGAATCCTGGAATTAATGTTACATTTTGCGTAGTTTTTGCGTTTTTAATCAATTCATCGAGACAATCGAAGTATACTTCAACAATCTTGCGTAAAAGTTCTGTTATAAGAGGGAATAATGTCTGCTCTAATGGTAAATCTAAATTTCTCGAGAAAATTGTATTGTAATAATCGGAAGAAGAGCGATAAAACTCTTGTATTTGTGATAATGTTATTTCTGCTTGCTGACTCATCTTTGTAGATGAAGAAGTAATCAAATTTCCATCGTTTTGTTTTTGGCCTTCACGATATTCGCACCATAAATCACGAAATACTTTCTTTAAGTTCTTAATGTAGGCTTTTGAGATGTCAATTAAGTTATTTGTTGGCTTAGAATTCTCTTGTTTCAGAAATGAAACAATTGAATCTGATAATTGCTTTAATTTTTTGATTTGCTCATCTGTTGGAGGTGTAGCAATAAATCCTTCATCAACTTTTGGTGATTTTTTAGGGCTTTTAGTTGATTTTTTCATTTTTGAAAACTGACACTTTACATTTTCATTTCACAACAGTGTTTGATCAGTTATCTTCTTATATATCATGACTGTTTTAGTATGCTAAGTTAAATTAAGATTACAAAGAATAATTGTGTTTTTAGAGGAGATATTCTTTATTCAATGTGGTTAATCGCTTTACAGGGGACTTGAAAGAGGACATATGTTTTCTTTCTTTGAACTATATGATATGAAATTGATAATTATAGTTAATAAAAAGTTCAATAATTTTATCAATAACATACATAACTTAAATAGACAAATTTGGCATATATGCACCAATGTCCGATACGGTTGGACTAAGATCAGTTGGCATTTCTTACACACAAAGCTTCAAATGAGATCATTATTATTGCTATAATACACTGTGATGTTAGATTTATAAGTTTACCCATATAGTACTCATGTCCAATATTGTTTGCAAAGCGTAATAGCCTCAGCTCTTAGGCGAGTGTCAAAAGATTCACTTTTTGATGAGAAAAAAAAACTTTTTTTTTACCAAATACATTTATGGATATAAAAAGATTGCCAGTAAAAATCACTGATATTGATAAATATGGTGACACATGTTTGGATATAGGAGGCGAGCCAGCTTGTCTTATAGAGCCAAAACCTTCATTAGTTAGTCTTGGACTTGTGTATCTAAATCGAATAAAATTAGACGACCCTTCATGGGAGAATATCATTTGTGCTAATTTAGGAGGAAGAGACTTTAAAAGCTGCACAGATGATCCAAGAATTGTGGAAATCGCAAAGAAGCAAATTCAAGGTAAGCTTACAAAAGCAGATATTGGTACAGTATATCCACCAATAGAAATATCTGATGATTAGTGATAATTTGTTTATTTTATCATATCATTATTTTGCGAGAAAATTTTTATTATTTATCTTAAAAACCTTAATATTTTGATCTGTTTCCATGTTTTTTGCACTTAAATGATATTGTCAAGCTTAATATGAATGGAAAATGTTATACCATTATCGATAAGTACTTTTTTTGATACGTCAGAGTTTACAACAAGAAATGGGTTTAAATGATATAAATATATATATATACTGAATGAATAATTTTTATTTCTTTTTCATTCCAATTGAAGAATGGATCAGAAATTAGATTGTACCTTATGATATAACAAGTAAATATGTGATTTCTTTCATCATTTACTTCCTAATAGGTATTTTTAATTTCGGAAATTTTCATCGGTTAATCTTTTAAAGAAAGAATTGACTTTAATGCATTTTGATGCATAGAAGAGTTTGCATTTGTTGTGATCCTTTGTAATGTGTATTATCATTCTGTATTTTGAAATATCAGTCTCAATAACTTTTTTTCGATATCTGCAATCATTTTTGGGTACTGCACGCCTACAGCAATTAGTATTCTCAACGTCAATAATCTGATTAATAAAAAGGAGTGATGAAAAATCTTGGCATTTTGTTGAATCAAAATGAAATCTTATAAAAAGAATCGTGAACATTCAGCAGATTTATGAATGTATTAGTGAAGGAACAGTTTAAGAGAACAGCATATAATATACCTAAATTTTTTCCGAGTAAAAGTTTAGCGAATTTATCTCCCACTAATTTTTAATAACCTCAGAAAAATGATTTTGTCAGAAAATGTAGATCGCTGAATCGAAAAGTTTAATAAATCATGTAATATGAATCTCATACATATATTAATGATATTGTCTCATACATTCTTATCGAAAAAACTATAAATTGAAAGTGGAACCTGCCGAAATTTTTTGGTAAAAAAAATCATATGACATTTTTTCACATAATAATCAATATGCAATATGATCGCTATATCGTTCTAATTGCTTTTTGAACTGCATTCAAAAAGCGAAATGAATAGTGCTGACTTTTTTCAATATGTTATTTTTTGAGAAACCCATAGAAATTTTCGAAATGCTTTTCCCACTCCAAATTTTTATTTAAGATTCTCTTTTTTTACTAGAATTTGACAAGAACTACATTCTACAGGAAACAAATGTTCCATACACTATGCAAACTTTATAAAAGAACAATAAAATAAATTTAATTTTCCTATTTTATGATTTTCTTTAAATATCTCTTGCCTTCAATATGAACTGTATAACACAAATCATGTAAATTCCCAATTTATGCTAAAAATGTGAATATTTAAAACAAAAATAAATTAAAAATTGGACGATTAGCTTCATGTTCAAGATTTGATAGTATAATGCCTTTTCTGTGATTCGATTAATAGTTTAGAATATTAAACTTGAGTTATTCTAACAAATTGTTTAAGTAGTTAAAAATATGAAAAATCAATTTGAATCTGTACACTTATAAACTTTTATTCATTTTCATTTACACATGCAAACAGTATAAAATATTGAAATTAAAAAATCTCGAATTCAGGCTCAAAATCAGCCAAAATTTCGTCCCAAACATCAAAACTATTGATTGTTTCAGTATCCATTCCATTATTAGGAGATTCTTCTGTATTGATTGGTTCTTTTCCTTTTATTAGCTGGTTATATCGGATTTTGACCTGATCCCCAGACCTATTCTTAAGGTATTTTGATATAATAACCCATTTGTTGCCATACTTCTTGTAATACTCTAGAATGAGTTTATCTTCGTCAGCTGTCCATTTGTCTCTATTTTGGCTAAGGAAACTCTTATATCGCTGAGTATAGACCTCCTGGAATGATTAATACCAAGTTTCTGCTCATGTATATCTATAGCAAACCTGATGTCACCCTGTTTCTTGACTTCTTCAATGATCATGGCGTCTTCTTCTTTGGAAAATCGATGGATCACCTTCTTGGTCATGACAAATATTAAAAATGATCCTTTTTAAATAGATTCAATTCATCAATATTCAAAAAAAATTTTTTTATGAATTGAACATAAAAGTTTTTGAATGTATCTCAAAAAGTTTAAGATACGAATAGTGTAAATGATGTTTGAGATCTACAACAAGATATAATGTATTAAGGGTTTCGTTTTGCTAAAATTGTCACTTTTATAGCATATTTGTTTTTGGATGTTTTGCGAAACCAAAAAAAAAACTATGATATACAATGTGTGTGTAAAGAAAATACTTTATTTACTAGTTAAAAAATCATTTGGTATTGATCAAGTTATTTTTTCTGGATAAGATATTATATGGATAATTGGATAGAAAATACAATTATATAATCTTGTACCTGGTTTAATTAAGCTAATTGTCATCAGAAACTTGTAATTTTTATGAATTTCAGATTTTCTTTTCATTACTGCTTTTCTTAATAGGTCAAGTTCTTATTTACGTTATAAAGTATGATATTTACAAATATCAAGTTATCGTGTTTTTTGAGAAATTATGAGAAACAAACAAAAATGAAAAAGATAGGAATAGCAATGAATAGTGATGTGGGTATAGAAAATGTAAGAGATATGAATGCAAAGCAATCAGTATTTAGGACATTGACCATAGATTTCGAAAAAAAATGCTGCATATTGAGCGAAAACTATGATTATATTATAAGGCTGTCATTTAAAGCATAATGAAACTATTCCCTTTTCATTTTAATCGAATAAGATAGTAAAGATTTTTGAATTAGCTAGAAACTGATGAGATGTTTTCACAAATCAGATTTTTAATCTCTATAATGCATAATTCACTCAATATCTCAATTTTGATATTGCGAGATATTTTTGCTATCGGTTTCGCAATTTTGACACAATAGCAAGAGGGTTCTATAAGCATTATTATCAACGTAGAATCTGAATATCATATCAGAAAATGTCACAAATCTGACATTTACCCGACCAAATAGCAAAAATAATTGAATACTTTTCGCAAAAACTTTAAAAATCGATAAAAATATGAAATATAGATATTAAAGAGACTTTTTATATAATATTCATAAAGATTTTCCAAAAATATGATACCGCAAAATTAAAAAAGTGACGTCTTGAGTGGAGTCAAAGGTCGAAATTGCTAGCTAAATGTTTTTTAGCGAAATTGCGTATTGTACGTTTTTTCGCAAAACGAAACCCTTAAATGTATAAATTGAATAACATTTGAACTGTCAATTCAATTCGAAGATTGAAAAAAATTAAATTCAAAATTATAAATTATGATAAGACATGTATGTAACAAAATCATTTTTATTTGCATAATTTGACAATTCAAGTTTGAATGATTTACATTTTTCTCTTAAATTAGTTTTTGTTACAAATCATTTTCAGGAAATATATCACCTGTTAAAAAATTAATGTATACAAATTAGACACCAGTATAATGATGTCAATTATCATATTTAAAATTTAAAAAATTGTACAAAAAATTGAAATTATGGTAAAATTATGTAAAATTAAAATCAATTATCTGGAATCTTAATTCAAAATATGTTGAGGTGCTCATAAGATATTGCATTGCTCTTGTGATATTCGGTTTTGCCGAAAAATATTTACAGTTACAAAAAAGATTTCATTAAGCATTTGAAAATCTTAGGAATCAAGTCCTGCACTGAGTAATAATGACATGCTGAAAAAAATTTCAAAAGAATGACAGGTAATAATTTTGAAATATACATCCTGTCAACAAATTATATTGTGCTTTAATTTGAGTTTTGTGAATCAAACAAGAAATATTATGTTTTTGATTTGATTAATTAAAAATCAATAAAAAGATTCTATAGTATCATGAAAATTACATAGTGCATGGAACATTTGTTTCCTGTAGAATGTAGTTCTTGTCAAATTCTAGTAAAAAAAGAGAATCTTAAATAAAAATTTGGAGTGGGAAAAGCATTTCGAAAATTTCTATGGGTTTCTCAAAAAATAACATATTGAAAAAAGTCAGCACTATTCATTTCGCTTTTTGAATGCAGTTCAAAAAGCAATTAGAACGATATAGCGATCATATTGCATATTGATTATTATGTGAAAAAATGTCATATGATTTTTTTTACCAAAAAATTTCGGCAGGTTCCACTTTCAATTTATAGTTTTTTCGATAAGAATGTATGAGACAATATCATTAATATATGTATGAGATTCATATTACATGATTTATTAAACTTTTCGATTCAGCGATCTACATTTTCTGACAAAATCATTTTTCTGAGGTTATTAAAAATTAGTGGGAGATAAATTCGCTAAACTTTTACTCGGAAAAAATTTAGGTATATTATATGCTGTTCTCTTAAACTGTTCCTTCACTAATACATTCATAAATCTGCTGAATGTTCACGATTCTTTTTATAAGATTTCATTTTGATTCAACAAATCGCCATGATATCGGTGCAAATATATATATTATAGTTTATTTATTAGTCTTCTATGAACGAAACCATATTAATTACATTTGATAACGCTCAATGGATATACCATGTTATTTTATATTATTTTAATAAAGTATTCTATACAACTTAAAGTTTGATTTTATATGTATGAAATAGATTTCGTAAGATCTATATGGAATTTGTGTAATAACAAACTTCATATTTTAATTGATGATAATGATTAGATGTTAATTCATCTGATGTAAGTGAAATGTCATAAAAATAACCTTTTCATGTGATTTAGCACAAGAATAAGTTTATATATTTATCAGAATAGCAATATCCGTAATCATTAGGCATTATTAGTTTTTCAGAATTTGATAAAAGATATCAGCATAAAACTACCAATATTTCTTGTCATGTCATTCAGTAATGAAGATATCTTTTGAATACGTATCTATGATTCATATAAGGATTAAATGTTCTCTATTATACAGAATAAGATGAATGTGAGCAAACAGCTGAATTTCATGTTTCAAATCAAACAGATAATATTTCAAAGTTTGAAATTATGCCTTTGCTTTC